GAAGTGCTACAAAGTTTTCTAGATTGTTCATATGTTAGGAGTTCACGCTTCGATTTAATTTGGGTAAAAGTCCCAATAATATTGCCTATAAATTCTTAAGCTTTACTCCAATATCTCTTACAATGTAATAAGTTATCGTGAGTTGGGAAAAAGGAAAAAGAATCAATATCACGTTAGCAATGTATGAATTTCTGCCATTTTGTTTTCTGACTTTGCAAAAATTCCACACACTCAACGGTTTTTAGATTGGATCGAGATCGTCCGTAGAGAATTCAATTCATAAATAAATATGGCGACGGTCTGCCGCCATCTTGACGGGCTGGGCCACCAAGTGTTGCGTGAGGGGCGTACTAACGCGCCTACTGCTACAAAATTTGATACAGCCTATAAGTAAATCAGCGACGAAAGGGTTACTGTAATTAATTAAAGTGAAAACTAGGAAATGAAATCAGTTCGACAGTTTAAAGTCAGGCAAACTAAGTCAGGTAAAGTTGGCGCTTCGACGAACCATCAATTATGGAAGTTAGTGTTAGTGGCTAGGATAGGAAATACTAGAAAGGTTGGAAGGAAAAATCAATAGAAAAGCTTTTATTAATCATCGGTGCGTGACCGACTAGATACGACAAGCCTGACAGAGTCGTTAACGATATTAATTGCTCCAAAAATACTTGAAAGGAATATAACTGTTTTGTAGCTCCGGATTATAGTGCTTTCGAAATCACGACTGCTAAAGCTACCATTACTTAGACTTGTCTTATCGTAGATAAATCGCTTTCTAGAGAAATATGTACATTTCGAAAAGGAATGATAAGGATTAAGTAAATAAAATGGAAAAAATAATGAACCTTCTGTTACACGTGCGACCAAAAGATAACCTGTGTATTACAGCAAATTAGTTGTTAGACATAGTGATAAATGATTTAGAAGTTTATGTAGTAAGAGCATCAATGTTCTAGGTGCATAATTGTATAGACAATGTTGACCAAAGGCTTGACCGGAGAGATACGCGGCCCAGCGTCACAGAAATTTCTTTCCCTCCCCAATTCCTAAATCCCCAAACTTCCTAATCCCCAGGAAGCAAATGCTCTTGCAGTTCCTCTGATTTTGCGGGTGTCCATGGCCGGAGGAGTCGGCAGGTTACGATCAGGTAATCCGGCTGTCATTAGCCGCCGTATCACGTAAAAAAGACAGAACACCACCAAATAATTAAATTAATTGTAATTTTTAACTGAACTGAATAACTATACACAGGGTACATAGCTCGATTTGCTTAATAGGTCTGTGCCCAAGATATTTTAAAAACAAGTTTATGTTTCTTTAAAATATTACTTGGTCAGCACTGCTAAGAAACCATTGACCTATCGATTTTATTTCCAACATTAAATACTAGAAGTGCTGTATTAATTTGCTACCGACTCGATAGTAGCGTTGAACATAAATCTATTTAGAACATCGAATCTAGTTAAGTTTAAATAAACGTACTCGTGAGTCAGCTGTGTGTAACTTTGAAAAATAGTAAAATGAATTTAATTTGAGCTTTCTTTTGCGTATCCTTCTTATACTGAACTTATAAAGGAAGTATAAATCGGCCTACCGTAGTAGAAAGAATGGGTACTTAAGAGGTATATTTTTTTGAGGAGTGAAACTTATTATTCGTCTTCTCAACTGGCCCTGGTCTAGGTGAAAGGGACTCTGGCAGACACTTACCGACTGAAAACCACCCCGTGCCTTCTCCTGCTCCGGGTTGAGACCGCGTTTCAGTATTGTGCTTGTAATTTTAACCCCATTGATAGGTAGGTAGATAATTATTACCTTATTTTATTATTCATTCCTCCAATAACACATATTTTCTCGTCGGTTCGAAAATAAACTTCAATAACCGCGGTTAACACCAAGGATAATCAATATTTCATACACAAACAATTGGCTGAACAATGAAAACGCATTCACTGTGTGACTGAGATAACAAAATACGGTTATCAATTCCTGTCACAGTTCCATTGCGGGTTCTGTGGGAGATCGTAGGCAGGAATTAAATGATTACACAGCAAGCGATCACACGGATAATTGTATTAGTCGTCTTTGAACAAGACCACGGGTTTCAGTTGCATCGTTTCTTGAGGTCAAAATCGGATTAAAACGTTTTATTGGTGTCAGATTTTCGTCCCTTCTTTTATTTTAATTTATAAGAAGATTATTTTAAAAGTAAACTTCTTTTTTTTGTCAGGGGAAAATCATCCAATGACTTCTCCCGGCCAGGGTAAGGCGAGAGAGAGTGTCAGACTCTTACTGACTAAAAACACCCCATTCCTTCTCCTGCTCTGGGCCGAGGTCGCGGTGCCTCATTGCGCTTACCCCGCAACCCCAAAAGTAATCTACTTAAGGCCTATTTCTCAATTGTTAGATAAAAGTTACCTGGCAAATAATTATGATGCTGTCAACAATTTTATTCCTCAGATAACATTTATCTGACTACTATTGAAAAATCAACCTTTAAATGTTACGTTTATATAAGTTTTGAACTACCCTCTCTACTCACTGCCTCATAAATAAATAAATATTATTAATTAATAATTTCAAGATAGACAAAACTCCGCACTTAAATATCTAGAGAATATCAATAAATATAAATTGAAAGATATAAGTACTTAGTAATTTAATTCATAAAATCGAAGACTGAAACACTGCACTCGGTTCGCAATAAATAAGTTATGGAAGTTTGTCAGATTTATCGGTAAAATAAACTGCTTACTTTCTTACCTTAACAGTTATTTGAGAAATGTTCTCGAAAAGAAAGTATATTATTTAATGCATTGCATCAATTCCTCTTAGTTAAATGGTGGCAAGAACTGCTTAGAGATGATAGATTTTTCTCTTTGAGGTAAGGAGCGCATTAAGTTGCCGTGTCCTCAGCCTGGAGTATGAGGAGGAACTGGGGGTTTTAGTCAGTAATATTCTAACACTCCTCGCCATATCCAAAGTGAGAGAAGTCATTAAAAAAAAAAGTAAGGCGAGCGTAAATGTCAGACGCTTACACCTGGCTTCCGAAAGGCTGACCAATGTTAAAATCAATTTAATCTCTTGTCAAGTCATCTGATTGGTTGACTGAAATATCAACAACCAATCAGATGACTTGACAAGAGGTTTGACACCTAGTTGATTTAAACATTGATCGGGCTTTCGGAAGCCGGGCATTAGTGACTAAAAGCCTCCTTATTCCTTCTCTTTTTTCTATTGTTTTTACTAGTCTGGACTTTAACAGTGACTAATGTCTGAGCCTGGTTTGGCATTTCGTCTTAGAGTAGTAGGTGCAATGCTGATACTAAATTTCTCCCACTAGTGGATGTTATTTTATGCACATAAAACTTCCACTTCAATCACTCTCTCCATCTATTAAAAAAAACCGCATTAGAATCCTTTGCGTAATTTTAAAGATTTAGGTGTACATCCCTTTGTACATTTATATCGCTTTTTCTGTCCCAATATCCCTATTTAGGGACAGAAAAAGCGACTTTTTAATACTATAATAAGTGTGGGGGAGCCAAGCTTCGGCACGAATGGGTCTGCTCGACCGGAGTGATACAACGGCTTCACAGAATACCGGCGTGAAACAACCCACAGTGTTGTATTGCGCCGCGTGAGTGAGGTTACTGGAGGCCCAATCCCTTCCCTTCCCGTATCCCTTCCCGATCCTTATATCCGCAACCCCTATTCGCAAAAGGCCGGCAACGCACTCGTAACTCCTTTGGTGTTGCGGGTGTCCATGGGCGGCGCTGATTGCTTACCATCAGGTAATCCGTCTGCTCGTTTGCCGACTTATTTCATAAAAAAACTATAAAATGCAAAAGTGACGTTTCATGGCTTTTTTGCAAAAATAAATTCACAGTTTCATTATACTCTTCTAAACTTTATGACTATTTTCCATTTTGGCGTAGTACCGTTACAATGCCTACACTACATGTATGAAGTATGCTATAATTCGTCTGGTTAGCACTGAAGTGGTTCGATTGTATTATATTACCTGATACCTTATCACTTATCGCAAATACGGGCACAAAGCGCCCTCAACTTTTGCCATATCAAATTGGCCACTCGACCGTTATCGCGCGCTTTACGTGAAATTGTTTAACGTGGTGATTCTTTCACATTTCGCTCTGATAAAATATATTATTAAAATACTGAAATGTTTTGTAAGTTGTGTGGGTATTTTGTTATGATATTTTAGTCGCGGTTTTTAATACCGGATTGCCATATATTGCCAACAATAGCAAGCAAGACATCATCATCTTCAGTCGATCAGTATCCAGTACTGAACAAAGGCCTCTCTCACACTGAGAAAGTAGCTTATTGCCATAATATCCTACAAGTCTTTGGTTGACTATCGCATTTGCAACTGCAACTACTCTTGATTATAATGTCCACTTTCATCTACCTTCACGTAGATTCGAAAGCGTAATTTTCTATTATTGAATGATCGCCACACCATTTTCCTTGTAATGACTGTGTTCCGAAAACAATTGCTAAGAATTGGTTAACTAAAGCATATTATATGACACATATATTTATATGACTCTTATTATAGCGATAACATGTATCCGTTATTGAAGACCGCATCTAGGCAAACGTAGTGTAAGGCACCATCCTCCTACCATCCAGCTAGTTGGATTGGCGATATTCAAATGGTGGCTGGCAGTAGTTGGAGGAGAAGACCTGAACATTGAGCTTAGTGGCGTGCGATTCACAGGCCTATGTTCAGTAGTGGTTGGAAACGGGCTGATGATGATGATGATGATGACGGTAAGATACTGATCCGATACAAGGGAACACAAATGCCAGTCTTATTAAGGTACAATACATTTATACGGTCACATATTAGTTGGTGTATATGTTACCCACATAGGTATTTGATAATTGAGATTAGATCGAAGATAGTGTTACCTATTAAACACGTTGATACAATAGCAATTGTATATGTCTTATCTAACTACTATCAAGTAGAACTAGTGTGGAAGCGCCATGCCTTGACGGACGGCTCGACCAGTGTGATACCGCGGCCTCACAGAGAACTGACGTGAAACAACCACAACAATGTGTTTGATCGTGAGAGTGAGGTTCCGTTGGTAAGGTAGGTTCTTCTTCTCCTCCCCCAATCCCTTAATCTCCAAAACCCTTATACCCGAAAGGCCGACAAAGCACACATACTCCTTAGGTGTTTCGGGTGTCCATGGGCAGCGTCGATGGCTTACCATCAAGTAGTGTCTGCTCATTTGCCATATATCCTGTCGTATAAAAAACCCGCTAAAACATCGAGTTACAGTAGCTTTTCACCAGCACGACTAAAATCATGATAATACAACAAGCTACCACAAAAAAGCCTGTTCAAATCGAAACTTGCAGTCAAACGCGTCCTTTAATATTTTTGTCGCACAATATTGTGCGTAGCGCCCTCTCACGGGAAATCACGACACGACACCCACCTGTTCAATATCTACCATAAATATGGCGCCGGCCTCGCTGGAATTAAATTCCATAATGTTCATTATGTTAGACTGGTTTGGCGTCAGCGGAAAATGATTTGCGACCCCTGGACACGCCATGATTTCGGATTTGTTGGTTACAATGGTGAAGGGATCCAACTACAAGTGTTTTTGTTTAATGTGCTCCTGAGTCATGGGTGCATATTCTGGACACAAAGACAATCAAATGACGACAAGCAGGACCTCTATGACTAGTTAATCTACAAATTAAATGGTTTTGTCTGTTTAATGAAACGTTGCTCCTCATTAGGATGTCCTCCTGTGTAATTGATGCGTTTATATAGTAATTGACAATTAATTGTACTTGACTGATTTGACTTGAATAATGTACACGGCCCAGTCCAAGAAAAAGAACGGGGTGGTTTTAAGTCAGTGAGCAGTCTGACACTCTCTCGCCTCAACTAGAGCGGCAGAAGTCATATGATGATTACCTTCCTCAAAAAAGACAATTTGTATTCTAGAATAACAATTTGTCCATCTTAAGAAGTATTTGATCGTGAACCCACGTCGTATGACCCGTTATGCAGCAACCAATTGCTTAGCCACAGCGTCAACTTCGCAATCATAAAATAAATAAGCAGTTTCTGTTATCTTACAGAAGTTTTCGCTGATAGACTAACCGTCAAGTAATTTCGGTTCCTGATTATACAAAAGAGCAACCTAAGTGCATAGGAACGATTTACATAAATTTGAATTTAAACAGCCAGATGAAAGAGCAGACTGCAGTCTATTTTTGAATGCAACTACTGCATTTTCCCTGTACTATGTTTTACCTGACTGCAAGAAGGATATTCTTGAAGAACTCTGCGTAGATGTTGGTAATACATCCTTGAATAGATGTGTAATGTCATGTAAAATTCTCCACTATTTAATGTACATATAAATAATTTTTATACATATTATGGACCTCTCTCTTCAATCATTCTGTCTATAATCATTATCGTCATTATCGCCATAGTCGTAATCAATGTGTATTGAAAAAATGCATCAGAATCAGTTTTTGCGTAATTTTAAATATTTAAGCATCAACATGTATAAAGCGGCAAACAAAAGACAGACAAGACAAGCGACTTTAATTTATCCTATGTACTGATTATCCTTTAAGTAACAATGCTGCAGGGAAAACCTGGTCCCAAACCATCTGGTTGTTTGTTATAAAATATCATAAATTTTTATAAACACTCATATTTTTCCATAATACCCCAAACATTAGGGGGTAAACATATTTAATACCGGGGCCGATAGATTATACCCCTTAACATCAGTATGGAAACCAAACGCATTATTAAATAAGATAAATATGATCACTCAAAAGACGAAGAAGTATACGTGACCAAACTTAAATATATGATAAACTTGAAGCAAGTTGATATAATAAATTTTCCAACATATAAATACATACGATTACACAGATGCAGCACTTGAAGCTACCCATTTCTTTAATACATTTTGATCTTTATTCCACAAAATTTAAGGTCGTAAATCTATTAATGGAATTGGTAGTTTCGGTGTAGCTCCATGTGCAGCTGATTGTATGTATGTTACCTGACCTATTTCCAAGCAGTTTGACCCTTTCATACGATGAAAGACCGCTGTAAATGATCAATCCAACATTTCTCTTTAACGAACTGTCAACTGTAATGAAATTTTTATTTAAATGTTTCGTGAAATGTTCAGCAAAGAGAGAATAATAAAATGTAATTTATTCAAATACTAGTCAGCGCAGTATCAAGGTGAAGTCAAAATCTAAATCATTTATTCCTCCTAAATTATAAATAGGTACTTTTGACACAAAAAAATAAAGTAGGTAGGAAAAAAAAGTGAAAAGTATCTTGTAGCTGTAGCCAGACTATAATATCTGTGCCAAATGCCATTTAGGATCGACCAATGATTCTTACCGTGTAATGAGTTCAATAATTTTTACGTGTTAAGAGGAACTAACATCTATCCTCGCAAACTTTCGCGGTTATAATAAGTATTAGAATTGACAATTATTATTTCTAGTAAAAACTTCTCATTGCCATTACAGATTTAATAAAAATCTGACATTATTAACAAAAAATTTTGGAGTGACAGGTACAGCTACTCAAATATAAAGGTGACGCAGATGTACTTTTGTTTACAAGTAGGCATATGCAATTTATTTTCAACCTTAACTTATTAATCTTAATGCACACAGTGGAGTAAATATCCTTTATAACAGGATACAAAGCAGCTTGGTTATTGCAATTTTGCATGGTCCTGTATGCAGTAATTTAGCAAGTTTCTCCAAAGTTAGAAGAAATTCCCACGCGTTGATCCCATTGGGAAATTAAAAGCTGCAACTTAATAAAGGTCAAAAGCAAACCTAGTTATGAAATACAGTACTTATAATATGAGATTCATTGAAATACCTAATGACTTCTAAAGGGAATTAACTGAGAAAAGCTCTACTAGTTTTAGGTCACATCAGGACTGTCAGTTAATACTTTGTTGGATATTCAAAATCCACATTTTTGGATTAATCTTATATGGAATTCATATTTTTTTTTAATTTCAAATAGAGTAAATAGGAAAGTCAAACATTTGGTTTTGGTTATGAATCTAATTACCAATTAAATGCGTACAGCCAAGGAGTGGAATTCCTTGCCGGAGTCGGTGTTTCCTGATAGTTACAATCTGGGTATCTTTAAGTCAAGAGTGAATAGGTTACTTCTAGGTAAGCGCGCTCCATCGTCGACCGCATCGTCACTTTCCATCAGGTGAGTTAGCGGTCAAGCGCGAACCTATAATCAATAAAAAAAAATTAAATGACTGTTTCGTTCGTCGAATAAACGCATGGGCAAAATGTGGGGTCATTTAATAAAATAAAGAAAAGTAATGTAAGTAATAAAGTTAGCCTTCATGCAACATTCATATGGATGTATGCTGCACAGTTTATAAGTCTAAATAAAATTTAAAATAGCCATTTCTGGTAAATACACTAAACAATGCACTCAAAATGTGTTGGTCTAATCATCATGGTCATTATCAGCCTGGTTCGATTCGCTGCTGCATATAGGCCTCCACAATTTCACACCACTGAGCTATATGTTCAACTTTTCTTATCCAACCACCGCCAGCGAACGTGCGGATCTGCTAGTCTTTTCTTTTTTTTATGTAGTAGGTCGGCAAACGAGCCGACGGATTACCTGATGGTAAGCAATCAGCGCCGCCCATGGACACTCGCACGGAGTAGTTACGAGTGCGTTGCCGACCTTTTAGAGATTAGGGATTGGGGGAGGGGAAGGATTGGGCCTCCGGTAACCTCACTCACACGGCGAAACAATACGCTGTGGTTATTTCACGCCGGTTTTCTGTGAGGCCGTGGTATCACTCCGGTTGAGCCGACCCATTCGTGCCGAAGCATGGCTCTCCCACACTTCAAGGAAGTCGAAGACCAATTCAAAATAAGCACTACACAATAAAGTAACCTTTAGACACATCCCACCCTTATCGATGTTCATTGAATTCTCAAATTTTATGACCGGCCCCCGACCTCACGCACAGTCATACATACGAACCAACAGTCCAACATACATTTATATGTATGTTTGTCTACCAACACTAGGTACCTTTAACAGAAAATTTTCCCCCACTGTCTGGTTCTTTGACCTTGCAATGTTGGCGCCATACTTGGCGTATTTGTAATGCCAATACAAAATGAACTTTATCTTTCAAGCAAATAAAGTTGTTTTGTTATTTGGTCCTTGTTATTAAGAAAATGTTGGTTCAATTATACCAAGCTTGGTGTAAGTTGCACCGCCAATTCCCGAGTGTGGTTATTTTAGTGAAGTTTATGTTCTATGAATATTTGATTATTTTCGTCTTACAGTTAAAAAATGTATGAGTCTAAAATGTTGGTTGTATTTTCGACGTTAGTTGTATTTTATTACAGTTTAAAACTGTTAAATTTTGATAACGATAAAATTGTGGTAACGATGCAAACAACAAGACATTTATTAAGAACCTCTTAAATTAAGTGCAAATTTTTTTATTACTTAAGACATCTTCCATTTGCCTTCAGTATAATAACAAAGTTGTTAAATAGCAAATTAAATAGATCAATGGTTCCTCAAAGAACGATTCCTCTTAACGCTCAATCTATTGCTTTGTACAACAAATTCAGTTCAGTCATCATAAATAAAAATTAGTTTAAAACCGATCTTCTTTTAATAATTCTCAATATCCACAGACTAAACAAGGCAGATTAGATCTATCGCAAAACTGGTCAACAAAACGAATAATATCATAAGTCCATCCAATAACGTATGTGGCTCCCTCTGTATAAAAGTAAATCTCCCAAGTTAATCGCTCAGGTCGTCGAACACTTAATGAAGTGGGGTGCCGCTTTATGCGTACCCTTAAAGAGGGACCACGTACGATAACGACCAGCTATATTAATCCAATTTACTACCTTAGTGCGTTCACATAAAGACTATTTTAGGTATGGTGTTAGCGTGGGCGCAGTTCGATGAATGTGTGTCACGATTCACGAGCAAGGGTTGCCTTGTAGGCTCAGTATCAAGAAAGTTTTGGTAGGAAATAAATTTATATACTTACACTCCCCAAAGGAATAGGCAAAGGTGCACAGTTTGCCCGAAATGCTATAAATATTGCACGTGCTCGTGCAAATCGAAAATTGTGATCTCTTGCGGTTCCAAGATCACACTTATGATAATAGAAATAAGAGGCAGGTTTATTTACAGTTCTTTATGCATCATTCGCTTTTGTGGAAATAGCGAAAACCATATCCTCGTCTATACCTACTTATTAAAAAGCATGTTTTCTTTATATTTCCTAACGCCAATTTTGTTTTTTTAAACCTCATACTATGTTTTTCTATTGTGTGTCGTAGGTGCCTTAACAAACATTCATTTTCACATGTATACATATCACACTCAGACAGAGAACAACAATTTGTGGATCACACAAAGAATTGTTAAGTGCGGGAATCGAGTCTGCTTTACGTTGCACGGCAGCTGGTTGCCGACCATCAACAGAAAACTCCATCAGGTTGCTACAATTTATTAATACAATTT